TTTTTTTTTTTTTTTTTTTTTTTTTTTTTTTTTGATACCAGGGATTGAACTGGACCTTGTGCTTGCAAGGCAGGTGGCAGAGTATGGGTTTCTTATACATAGTATATGTTTAGGTCATCTAAAAAACCTATTATGATAATTCTGTTTTGAATTGGTATATCTAGACCTTTATATTTTAAAGTAATTATTGATATGTTAGAGCTCATTTGCCATTTTACTTTTTGCTGTAACAAAATATCATAGAGTGGGTGGTTTAAACAACACACATTTATTTATCACAGTTCCAGAGGCTGGGAAGTTCAAGATTTAGATATTGGTCAATTCCATTCCTGATAAAGAAACTTTGCCTAGCTTGGAGAAGCCACCATCTATCTGTGTCTTCACATGTTGTAGAAGTGCTGCTCTTTCTTCTCCTTTTTTTTTTTTTCTTCTTTTTTGGTGGTACTGGGATTGAAACAAAGCCTTTCACACTAAACTACATCTCATAATCTCTATCACATTACTGCCATGGGGAGGGGGTGCAATTTCAGGCTCCCCACTTGGCTGACCCCGGTAAAAGAATCAGAGTACCATTTGCTAATAGCATCAAGTAGGGGATGGAAATCCAGGCTCTCCCCTCAATGTCCACTGGCACTGAGAGTGAGAAAGCAAGAGAAGAGAGAATTTCCTTGGTCTTTGTTTGGAGCAGGACTGATATTTTCAAAAAGGTTTTTATCTTGTTAGATTACCCCTTTTCCAGGTCTTTTTTCTAGAAAGAGCAGACTTTCCTTAGACCTTTCCAAACTGTGCGCCCGTAGGTATTTCCAGGATTTGGGACTCTCCAGTGCCCAGTCTGGGATATAGAGAGCAAAAAGAAAATCCAAGAAACTCATTGCCATGTCATTCAAGTTCCAATATCACTGCCCACTCTGCCACCTTTTCATCACCTTTTAGAGATTTCTGTATTTTCTTTTATTGTTACCTCTAGGATCTTTAGTCATCTTTAGAAGGACAGGGAAAAATGTGTCTACTACTTCTTTCTCAGAATCAAAAGCTTAAGAAAGCCTCATTTTAAAAATAAATTTTATTTTATCCCTTAAGCTGGCTCCCCCACCTATGTACAAAAGTTTCGTTTCCATCTTTTCCCTCTATTTTCACTTTTTTCTTGTCCCTTCCTTTTTCCCTCCCATCTCCCTTTTTCCCTTTCCCATCTGAACACTTTCTCCCCATTTTCCAACATCCATTATATATTGGAAAGTCATTTCAAAATGTAACAATAGGTAAGATATAGGTAAACAATAGCTGACATGTTAAGGCATAAAGCATTAAATACTATGTATCACAATAAAGGGAAAAACAGGTAACATTTAACCTAACAACCCAAATCTATTAAGTGAGACAGAACTTTTCTAAAAAACAAGGACCTTACCACCTAAATTAAGATATCTATTGATAAAATGAAACTGATGCTCTTCTTCACAAAAAATTTAAATCCAAAAATCACACAATGGAAAGGTTTGGCCCCTATCTAATAATGTCTTTATAAATAGCAAAAGCACCATCCTATACTCAAAGACATCACACAGAATGGTTTTAAAAAGTAATAAATTAAAATAGGAAGGCATATGTAGCCAGAAGCTTTAAACATGTAAGGAATTGCCAAATTTATTTTGCATCAATTTATTTGCCAGTCCCAGAGCCAGTGCTGACAGCACACTGGCAGTGAGCAGAGTCCTGGCAGACCAGACAAGCTCCAAATAAAAGCAGAAGGACCTCAGGACCCAGAAACCTCAACATTAAGCTCCACAGAAGTAAGAAAAAAATGTATGACAGCCATGCATGAAAGTAGGTAGGTGCTTCAAATGAGTAGGCACTGGAATTTTGCATTTAGGTGCTGGTACTAGGATCCTGTGGTAAGGAGAAAGGGCATTTTTAAGCTGCAAAAATAAACAACAGAAAACTTTCAACTAATTTTTTGCTTTTATATTTTTCACATTTTTCTATAAATATTCATACTTTTCTACAACTGAATTATGAGAGGAAAATGTCATTACATGAGGAAGCAAAATTCCATTGTACTACCCAAGAGAGAAGTGAAGGGGTTAAGTGGGTCTTCCATTCACAGAGAAGACACTAATCTGAGTGACTTTTGTGTTCCCATCAGCTCCACAACTGCAAAGGAGCTCAAGCCCAAGCCACTGCAGCACCAATACCTGAAGCAGGTAGCTAGACATGTACACTCTTTTCTCCTGCCCTCACCTTCACCAGGCAGCAGATCTGCTTTTTCTCATCCGTCCCCAACCCTAGCTAATACAGGTGCCAGAGAATGGAATTTCATGCATCACCTTCCTTCACCCATTGCTGCTGCTGTCACCACCTTGTTCCTCGGTTCCCACAACATACACACTTTCCATGGCAGACATATGACTCTGGTAAAATGAGTAAAGGCATGGAGACTTGCTTAGCATGTCTTAAATAGGTCAATAACACACACACCCGCAAAGGTTCATTTTTCTCAGAAATATTTAGTTCTAAAGTATCTAAAGGACCTAAGGCTTCTTCCACAAGAAACCAGGGCTGTCCGTTTAAGCCTGGGGGACAGGACAGAGAGGAAGACAAAGGCAAAGGGACTGTAAGGAGAAAGAGGAAGGAAGCACATGTCTCCAATAGGGCCATCAGAGAAGGTTCTTTCAGGGACTGAAAATATTCAACTGGAAATGTAAAGAAACAATTTGTGATATTCTCTAGCTACTATACACATTCAAGATCCATCTAAAAGTAAGACTTCTTCCTGAAAAATTTGTACCTGTGAGCCATTCTAGTCACCAGGGACATAGCCAAGGGGCTATGATTCTGCTTCTTTTTCCTTCTCCTTCCCTTAGCTCCCAGAGAAAATGAGAACCGGGGGAAACCTCAGTCATCCACTTGTTCTAGTCACCTGTTCTATATATAAGAAGGCTGAGGTCCAAATGGATATATTTGCTATACACTCTAAGGACAAAGATCCGTTTCATCTTTCCTGGTCCAGCTTCTCTGTTTTTTTGGAACAAGTTTGTATCTAATCCTAGGATTGTAATCTCCTTCTATCCCAGTCATATCTATGATAATGGAAAGTGAGACCACCTAAGCATTATGCCATAATTTTTTCTAAATAAGTAGTGGAAAGTACGGTCCTAACCTAAACTACACAAAAATGTTCCAAGTACTGTCTTGTTTTGTGGTACTGAGGATTGAATTCAGGACATTCACACTCAGCTATGTCCTCAGCCTATTTTTAAGATAGGGTCTCACTAGCCAGGCATGGTGGTGCATGCCTGTAATGCCAGCACTGGGAAGGCTGAGGCAGGAGGATCGTTGTGAGTTTGAGACCACTGGGCTACACAGTGAGTTCCAGGTCAGTCTCAACTATAGTGAGACCCAGTCTCAAAAAAAAAAAAAAACACAAAAACAAAACAAAAATGATAGGGTCTCACTAGGTTACCAAATTGCCCAGGCTGGACTCACACTTGTAATCCTCCTGGCTCAACCTCCCAGAGTGCTGGTATTATAGGCATGTACCACCATACCCAGCTGGCTTTTTTGTTGTTGTTATCTATCAAGGGTTTCTCATTTGTCATTTGTAGTTCTTCAAATTATTTTAAAATATGATTATCCAATGTTTATTCAAAAAGCTTTGGAAAAAGTGATTTCCCCCCCCAAGGAAAACACCAAGTAAAAACACCAAGGTAAGCCAGGGTACACTTGTTTAATGCCAGTTCCTCAGGAGGCTGAGGTAGGAGGATCATAAGTACCAGGCCAGCCCAGGCAACTTAGTGGAATGCTGTCTCAAAATGAACTTTTAAGAGGGCTGAGGATGTAGTTTAGTGGTAAAACACTTACCTAGGATACACAAGGCCCTGGGTTCAACCTCCAGCACTGGAAAAACAAAAAACCAAGAACATCCTTCAGGCTTACAGACTGGAAAGAATGTCATATACCTCATCTTCCTTTGAACTCTCTGTTTGTGCTCCCTCTTTGAATTTGGCCAGTGCGCTCTTGAGGTCCTGAGACGTGTAGGTATTGGTGTTGATATCCAGCCTGACCAAAACAAAACTAAGAGTCAGGAGAAAGGCACAATGTTCCCCGAAAACATGCCCTAGGTGGCTAGTACCCTAAGGTAATGTAGGCCAACCCAGCTCTAACCCTGAGTACACTGCCATATCTGTGCTTTCAGACAGTCAAGAATCTAACAGGGTGACCTTCCCTTGAAGTTAGAGTGAAAGACACAGCTGAAAATGGGGCTATTTCATGAAAAATGAGAAAAGGGAACAGGGCATACAAAAATCTCACTCTAAGCCGAGAGCTTTTAACCAGGTGTTTGGGCAGAAATGAACATGGAATATCTGTGTATCATGTGTACTTTGACCACATGCCAGGGCAGGGGTATTTTAGAAGGCAAAAGTACAGAGACAGGCTGTAGCATGCACGCTTATTTATGTCATTTGCAGGTGGGATGACAATGAATTGAGTCTGCCAGTTTGCCTGACATGATTTGACAAGCCAACCTATCTTTACAAAAATTAGTTGGATAGATTTATATTTTAAGACCAACCTTTGAGCCTAGAGAAGAGGCAGGAGGTATGTCGATCTGACAAAGGAATGGATTTAAGATACCCTGGAGTAGGACCAAGGCCAGCTATTTTCTATAGCTAGCCTCCAAGGGAAGGAAGTAGAGGCATCAATGTGGCAGTAATCTCAAGAATCTACAGAGACTAGAGTCTCTGCTCATGATGCCTTCTGGAGCTGATCCAAGCAACAACAACTATTCATCTTGACTGGAGAGAAGACATCCACTGGGAGAGGAAGGGTGCGCCAAGATCTCACCACTTGCTCTCAATTCAGTTCAATGAAGAGAGGTAAGAGCAGAGGTGATATGGATAAATGGAAGTGTGGACTATGGAATGTACTTGACAAGACTGTCTGGTTGTGACAGGGTGGAGACTTCAGAGGTACAGTCGAAAGGGCTACTGTCCTGCTGCACTCCAGGAAGGACAAGCACGTGAGTTGCACAATCTAATATCTCAGAACTAAGGTCTCAGCTTTCACAAAAAAGATATGTACTCAGTGCTCTGCTCTTCCAATTTTTGATTCACCCTAGATACCCCTGAGGACTTTCAGAAAAACACTTGTTTTCTCTAAGCCTCAGAACTTCTATGCTAATAATAGCTAATTACTCTCATTTATTGAGTACTTACTCATATGTCAACCATGGGTTAACCCATTAAAAGTAATGTTTCATTCTAATCACTGGCACAAAATAGGGCAGAGAATCCCAAATCCATTTTCCCACAGAGCACCATCCACTGCCAAGCATAAAGATATCACCACTCTGCCTTCTCCCTTACAAGGAAGCTAAGCATTCAGGAGCTATAGCTTGAATAAATTATGTCCTCTTCCATTAGACTTGAACAGGACTGATCCTTCCTTGCCTTGTGTCTCTCTCTGCTGCCCTAAGTTCCACTCTGTGGGCCACACATTATCACTACTCTCAGACACACAGCTCTCATCCCCCTCTACACACACAAGCATTTGCCTTTTCATACACACACACACACACACACACACACACACACAGCAGATGTACTCACTGAGCTTACAGCACCATAAAACCTGGTCAAAGCCTTTGGACTTCTGTTCAGTTTGTTTTGCCATTGGCTATAACTACTGATAAGGAAGAGGAAATGTATGACATATCCTGAAGGCCATTCCAGAGCAGAGCTTCCAGAAACACTCCAAAGGAGAGAAGAGGCAGGAGTGAGAACAAGTTTTTCTCCCTTATGATGCTCTCTATAGACACATCGATGGCTCCGTGGTGGTGGTGGGGTAAACTACGGATCCAGTCCAGGGGCTTGCATATATAGTACTAAGCAGGTGCTTTACCACTGACCTATATTCCCAACCCATTTTATGGTTTGAGATGGGATCTTGCTAAATGGACCAGGTTGGCCTTAAACTTATGATACTCCTGCCTCAGTCTCATCAGTGGGATTAGAGGCGTGTGCCATCATGTCCAGCTTCTGACTCAATTTTTTTAAACCACTGGGGAAAAATAGGCTTTTTATTTAGAAGATAAAACTTGGATTAGACATGAGAAAATACCTCCTAAATACTTTGAGACACTGACATAGGGTGTGTGTGTGTGTGTGTGTGTGTGTGTGTGTGTGCGCGCGCGCATGCGCACGTACGTGTGTTGGGACAGAGAAAGGTGGGAAGAGGCCATAACAGTGACATTTGATTCTTACATGGTTGTAAGAATAGTAATTGTATGACCTGGGCTACTCCAGTATGAGCCTATCTGCACAAACGGGAAAGAAAAGTTCTTTTCAGTCTGGGATGACTATAAGGAAGACAATATAGCTCAATACAAAGAATTTTTTAAAAGCAAAATCTTCCCAAATCTGTCTAGACTGCTCTGTGACACTGTGACTGCCACCTGACTAAAGGTGCACATGTACTGGCTAAATGACCTTTTGTTGGGTATGTCAAGGAAAAGACTGAGGTAAGAATTGGGTCTTTAAGGTCCCTTTCTGATTCATGTCTAACTACAAAATTTATTAAATAAGACAAATCAAAGGACTGAGTTGTTTCTACTCAATCTATTATTAATTCCCAAAATTTACATGTCTTAGAACAAACTATCTATAAAAATGTATGATAATATTTTAGACTTTGTGGGCTATCTGTTCCAACTTCTCAGCCTTGCCACTATAGTCAGAAAGCAGCCGTGGACAAAACGTAAAGAAATGATCATTACTATTTTCCAGTAAATATCTGTGGACACTAAAATATGAATTTTACATAATTTTCATGAGTCATGAAATATTATTCTTTTGGTTTTCCCCAACCATTAAAAGATGTAAAAATCAATTTAGCTTACAGGCCTAAATAGGCAGCAATCCTAATATGGCCCACAAGTCATAATTAGCTGGCCCTTGTATCAGAAACTTCATGGCTGATATTTTTTACTGAGCTACCAAACCGCATGATTCTGGCAATCCCTGCCACCTCATGCCTCAACCTTCTTCCCTGTCATTCAGGAAATACAAAAAAAAAAAAAAAAAACCTTATTAATTGAAGCAATGAACAGAAAAACAGAGACTGCTAATTCTCTAAAATCAAATAAATAACCTAAGCTGGTTATTAAGAAGGAAGGCAACCTCCAACCATTGGCGAATGCAGTGGTTTCTACTTGTATACTATAAGAAAGCCTGCTTTAATACTGACTAACAAGAGGAAAAGTTAGTCTGAATTAAAGACTTTAAAATGCAATTTTATTGTTCACCAAGGAAGTATTACTGCGAAGCAGAAGACCTAACAGGCCTGTTTTAATGAATAGATGACTCATCTGTAATCAGCACATTAATTGTTGGGATTCAAATGGGTGCTCTTAAAGTACTGGGAAAAACAGCTCCATTTTTGAAGCAGGTTAAGCATTCCCCCTACAGCCTTTTTTAAAGTATCAATTTGCTTTTGCAAACTGTTTCTTTCCAAAGACTGCAGAAGTAAACTTTCATATCACCCTGATAGATCTGACACAAATTCTATGCTATTAAATTTCAAATTTTAAAAATCCACATGAAAGCCATTCACAGGAAAATGGATGCATATTGAGGTCATACTCAAGTGAAATAAATAAGACACATGTGTAAATACCAAATAACTTCTCTGGTGTGAAAAACTAAAAGTGTAAATAAGATCCAAATTGTATAACTGATAAAGTGAAATGAGAAGAAAAGGGGAAGTGGGAAGGGTAGGGGAAAGGAAATAAGGGAAAAGAAAAAAATATGAGAAAAGGAAAAAATGGAAATAAAGTCTTTGTAAATAGGGGAGGGTGGAGCAGGTGAAGGGAGGGCAAGGGTATGGGAAAAATATGAGAACCAAGCTCTGTCATGTAAAGGCACAAGATCCCAATGATGAATGTAACTGTACTGTATACTTAAAACTCAAAACTCAATGAAAAAAAATCCACATGAATTTAGGTAATAGTTTCAGTATTTCAAAATTAGTGTCATCACTTAATCTCCCAGTCCCTACATTTAACACTGTACCTTTTGCCTTTTTTCAACCTTTTCAAATTACTTTGGAACTTGTCTTCATACTGGAGTTTCACCTCTCTTGCCCCAGTCTGAAGATTCAGTCTCACATGCGATCCTGCAGGAACGGCCTGACCTAAAAGCCAAGAAGAAAAAAGGATCATATGATCTAAGCTCCTTGGAGGGACACTGAGCTGGAATGGCTGGATAAGAAGTCAACAGGAGTTACTACTTCATGAGGACTAAACTGCTGTGTCAGTTTACCTCCCCCATCCAGCCTTGCTCTCCCTCTAACCTACACACCCCACTCACATATACCACTTTTGCTTATCTACAAGGGAATCTGTAAGATGTTGAGGCAAGGTGGAAGATACGATACACACTTAAATCTATAGACCAACATCCCCTCATTAGAACCTGCATATCTAAGCTATTTTGTGTTTTATTTAAATTGAGCATACACACATTTTTGTTATGTGCACTGAATGGTAGATACACACTCACTCCTGAAGACATGGCTAAATTATTGTCTCCTTTTTTACTTTTTCCCGCCTTTCCCTGGACAGTCTCACAGAACCCCAGACAGCCTGTTTTCTCAGCAAGCTTCCTACTTCACCATCTTCATCTGACTGAATGGGCTTCTTCTATGAAGCTCTCGCCTCCTTGAACATGGAATTTACTGTATCTCCACCTTCTGAATTTCTCTAGCCCTTTTGTCACAGCTTGGCACAAAAAAAATTTGTCGCTCATAACATTTATGAGAAAGAAGGAGGAAGTGATTGGAATGGAGGAGAACATAGCAAGCCAAGGAAGCAGGGAGTGGAACCAAGAGAAACTGAAAACTTACACCCACCTAATTTTAGAGGAACTGATCCATTAGCTGGGAAAACAAGTGTTGTGAATGGATGGTTATTCCTATGCATTGCCCAAGGATAGTTAAAAAGCAACTGTGCAACACCACATACTATAAATGGAATGTTACACCCATTCACTCACTCAAGGAAATAATATTAACTGGGCAACTACTTTATAACAGGCCACTGTGCTAAGTTCCAGGAACATAAAGATGAACATTAACAGTTGCAGGGATGAAGCATTTCAAGGAAAGGGACCTTCAGGGGACTTGAAATTTAAAGCACAGATGGTGCTTCTGACACTTGGACTTTGACCCTGCTTTCTCCTGCTACAGGATGCCATTGCCTTGCTAGTGCCAAGTTTGATTTAAGAATCTAAAATAAGGACAATCTAAAATATTTCCTCCAGGTACAAGATCCCAATGATGAATATAACTATACTGTGTACCTAAAATGTACCAATAAACTCAATGAGGAAAAAAAAAGAAAAAATAAATAAAATATTTCCTCCAAGGAAACAGCACAAGTTCTCTCAAAATAATAAGGTAAATCCTGAGTATAAGAGGTTAAAGATGTAGCAAGAGTTCAACAGTTTTCTCAACTCCAGCAGGACCACAGTGAATTCTTATTACTCTCACTCCTCTTGCCTCCAACCAAGGAGCAGGAAAATACCTTGCCAAGACGAGCTGCTTCTGTTCTGCTGTACTAGGGAAATCCTGTAGAACCTATAGTGTATAGAGTATATGTGTAATTATCTCCTTTTAATCCCCGCCCAAGAGTGGGATTTTTTTGTTGTTATTTTGGGTGGGCTTTTTTGTACTAGGAATTGAACTCAGGACCCGGCTTGCCAGGCAGGTGTGGTGCCACTGAGCTAAATCCCCAGCCCCTGTTTTTGTTTTTTTGAGACAGGGTCTTGTTATGTAGTTCAGGCTGGCCTCAAACTCAAGATAATCCTCCTGCTTCAGCCTCCCAAGCACTGGGATTACAGGTGTGTGCCACCATGCCCTACTCAAAGTGTTTAAGAGACATCATGGCAAATTTTTTGAAAGGCACATTATGGTGGGTATATAATGCCCACATTTATTTTTTATAAGTTATTTCTATTGATAAATTATGAATTTTAATTTTGAGTTTTAGTATATTAAATAATGTGCACTTAACAGAAAATATTAAATTTTTATTATAGAATGTTTAGAATAATCAACATTTTCAACATCAAGTGTTCACCTGTTTACAAAATCTAAAAAATAACAAAAAATAATTCCTACGTGAACTACAATGAAAATACAAACAAAACTCTACTGCAGAAGTAATCTTCACTTCAATTACCTAAGGCATGACACACATGACAACAGCATGTTCCGTGCTCAAGTACCACTTACACTAATAGCATATGTGCTTAGCTGCTTTCCTTTCTTTTTGGTACCAGGGATCGAACTCAGGTCCTTGCGCTTGCAAGGCAGGCTGCAGAACCCCTGAGCTAAATCTCCAACCCAAGCTTTCCTTTCTGTTTGGCAGACCATACTCGTCACCTCTTGTCTTCCTCTTTTGTCAAGAGCATCTATATTATACAATGTGCACTTAGTAGGAAGATGAAATATCAATAAAATATCAAATACATACTGAGTGTTTAGAATAAACATTAATGTTTTCTATATCAACTGTTTGCTTACTAAATCTAAAAAAAATAACAGCATAAATAAATTCCTATGTGAACTATAATGAAAATACAAATAGAACTCTACCACAGAAATAATTTTGCTTCAATTATCATACCTAAGGCAGTCTTCACATGTGGTCTCGCTTACAATGACAGCACATGTGTTTTGTTTTCCTGTCTTCTTTGGTAGGACACACTCGACATCTTGCCAGTCTTCCTGTTTTCTTAGGAAGGTCTTGTAATGTTTCATTTGCCTGTTCATTGGTCTGCTCCAAAATTCTTTTTGTTTTTCCATACCGGGGACTGAATTTGGGACCTTGTGCTTGCGGAGCAGGCAGAAGCACCATGAGCTAAATCCCTGGCCCCTGCACCAGAATTATTTTGAGGAGTTCTTTGGGCAGATACTGTTCTTCATCTGTTGTAATTGTTTACATGTCAATTCCAGTCCCAAATCCTCTAAGAAAATTTCTCCATGATATTTTGTGCCTGTTATTTTCTTTGTAAACTATCAAACTATCTATGCCTCACATGTTTAGGAGCAAGTAAAACACAACTATTGGCCAACACTTTATGTTTTGAGTGACATCATATTTGCTGCATAACTCCTCAACAACATCCACTCCACCTTTCGTTTTGTTGTAAAATGCAACCATTTCTGGCTTCATTTGTATTGAGGATTCCCTATTTATCTATCTTTGTATGTTCTGAGATAGTCCCTTTTTTTTTTGCCATTCAGGACCTTGGGGAACCTCCAGCCCTACCCAGTCTTATAGTATACCCTAGCGTGAAACTATGTATATGTAGCACAGGCTGTCCTTGAACTCACACCAAGTGCATCACCACACCTGGCCTCACTATCAATCTTGTCATCGTGGTGTAACTTGACAGTATCAATATTACTTTGCTTTTCTTTACTATAATGTAATCCAGACTAGCTTAGAACTCACTATGTAGCACAGGCTAACCTTGAACTCACAGGATATTCTTGCCTCAGCTTCCAGAGTGCTGGAATTAGAGGTGTGCACCACCACACCTGGCTTCACTATCAATCTTATCATTATGGTGTAATGTTGACAGATTCAATACTATTTTGTTTTTCTTTGCCATATAGGAGGCCAGTGTTGCATCTTTCTGAAATCCAAAGATTGGACTATAATAAATTTGCAACATTTTTTTCATCTTGCCAATAGTTCCTGTGCTAGTCAACTAGTGTTTTTGTTGTGGTTGGTGGTGGTGGTGGTTTGTTTTTTTTTAGCAAATGTAATATCAATGGGTAACTAGTAAAGCAATTGTCAAATGTGAGATATGGGTTATTTTTTCAAGTAGGTACAGTAAGTCTGATCACAACGTCATATGGTTTATTACTATATAAATAAAGACTTGGTGGCTGAGTTCCAGGATAAATTTCTAAATTCAAGGTATAAAATGTCTTCACATCTACTAGGACATATATTTTTATAATATATTTGGCATATATTTTTATAACATATTTGGCATATATTGCCAAAAGCTTCAACAACCATGAAATGACGTAAGTTGTTCATCAACTGTCATGTATTCAGATGGTATATAAATTGTTTGACAGTTTGAAACAAAGCTTTAAAAAATGAGCAAATAGCAGCCAAATTGTCAGATTTTTTTTTTCTTTCTTGGTGAATCTTTTTGTCAACAAAATAGGCAATTTTGAAAGAAACCAAATCTCTTCAGTGTCAGTACTGTTCTAAATTCTTTTTTGTTTGGTTTTTTGAGATAGGGTCTCACTTTGTAGTGCAGAGCGGCTTTGAACTCACTATGTAGCCCAGGCAGGTCTTGAACTCATATCCTCCTGCCTCAGCTTCCCAAGTGCTGGGATTACAGAAGTGTGATGCCGTGCTTGGTTTGTATTGTTCTAAAAGCGCAATGTCACATCTGTCACTTCTCCGAAAATCTTTTACATTCTGAGAATCAGAATGATAAAAGTCCTGTCATGAAGCATTTTAGTTCAGATAGTCAAGTGTCATGATGTGTGGATGTGTGTGTGTGTTTTGTACCTGGGGTCAAAGTCGGGACCTTGTGCTTGCAAGGCAGGCAGAGGAACCACTGAACTAAATCCCTGGTCCAATAAATATATTTTTGAGTATTACTATTGATGCATATAAAATGTATTACTTGCATTTCATTAGTGTATTTCAAAACATCTTTTAACATATTGTACATTACAAACAATCGCCAACATTGAATCACAGCGTTGGCATTCTGTCCACCAAGTTTCACCCCTGGCAAGAACCTAATAACATTTTCTAATCTAGTTCTAATGTTGGATTACTCAAGTATACCTGACAATTTTGCAGCATTTTGACTAGTCAAATATTTACATTACTGTTTTTTTTCTCATCTGAATCAAGGTCTTCATTCTGTATTTCTCTGCCATATCTTGCTAACTTCTTTGGCTCACATGATCCAAGTCATTATCAGTAGCCAAGTCACCTGATGACTCACTTACAACCTTCTTCCAAAGCTGTAAAAGTGGGTTTTTATGCAATATTATACTGAATTGGGTGAATTCTACATGAAAAATCAAAGGAAAATATTTAATAAAACAAATTATAAATACACAAAAATGTAATATGGTGCTTAATGTGG